GGGGTACACTTTTCGTTGTCGCTTTTCGGCTCCGTGTGAAGCTCGGTGGAGTCTGTGACGTTCCGGCCACGGCAGAGCTCCCGGTCCCCAGGGCACAAAACTCCAGGGACAGGACGGCCGTGGAGCCCTCCCGGCTTCGCTTCCAAAGGGCAAACCCAGCCCTGAGCTGGGAGGGGGAATAAAAGGTTTGTACCAGACCTGGGTGAGTCGCTGGGTGTTGGTTTGATCCCCTGCATGGGGCTGGTGGGAGGGCACCGGGCTGTTCCCAACCCGCCAGCCCGTCTGTGGAAACTGAGCCGGGATGAAACCTCCGGCAAACTGGAGACAGTTCCCTGCTGGGCTGTTTGGCGTGGCCATGGGGTGATGCTCCTCCCTGCTGCAGGACTGGGAGGCTCAAGTGGGAGAGGAGATGCCGTGGGAGCTGCTCCCAGCACCCCTGGGTGGGTGGGCTTGGTGGGTGCTGGGAAGGTGCAGGGTGGGCAGAGACTCATTCACCCCAACACATCTCCCTGCCAGCTGCGAGGAGGAGGAGGAGGAGGAGGCCGGGATGCTGCAGCAGGGAGGGCTGTAGGCACATGGAAAGGTCGGGGAATAAGGGATTTTCCCACTGAAAACCACCCCTCGACACCTGGACGCCCATTTCGAGGGGGTGGGACGTGTCCACCCGTGGGTGTGCCCACCTTTCCCCCGCCGGCACGAGCCAGTCCTGGCACAGCAGCCGCCGAGCTCCTCCCTCCCGTGCCAAACCCGGCAGGAAGGCTCACGCAAGGGCTGCAGCCTCGGTTTTAGCACTTCGGGAGCTCAGCGGGGTCCCGTCCTCGGAGCCAGCAGCGGCGCGGGGCCCCCGAGGAGCCGGGGCTGGCCTTGGCCTCCGCTGCTTGTTTTCCCCGGGATGCAGAGCCAGGGACGTGGAGGTGCTGTGGATGGATGCCGGGGTGCTCCACATGAGTCACGGCCAAAGAAGGATCTCCAAAGGGATCCAAAAGGAATGCACAGAGCCTGGTGTGTTCCCTGCCAGCAGCCTCTGCTGCCGGAGCACGTTCTCTGCCTGGCCCTAAATTGGGGGTGAGATGTCACCCCCTCAGTGCTGGAGGGGAGTGTGGGCACAGTGCTGTGCTCACAGGACGGGCACAGGAGGGTGTTTTCCCTAAATGGAATGGAGAGGGATGGCGTTTCCAGCTCGCTGCCTGGGCGGGAGGATGCTCCGGGCGGCCTTGGTTGTGCAGGGTGGGTGTGGGAGGCAGAGTGGGGGCCATGCCTGCACTTCCCAGCCAGTAATGGGGTGTGGGGGCTGCCACGGGGTCCTCAGCAGGCAGCTGGGTGCCTCGGGGTCCCAAGGTGGGCAGAGGGGGGTGTTGGGGGCTGCCAGGATAAGAGGGAAAGGCTGAGAGATGGAGCCCAGCACTGAGCAGCTTTTGGGGCGGGCACAAGCTGATGGCCCAGGGGCAGGAACTGCCAGGCCCAGGTCACTGAGTGCCCCTCAGACAGCATGTCAGGGGGTGTCTTTCTCCAGAATTTTCCACACATCAGCGCTTAGCCCTGTTACAGGCTGGCTGAGGGNGTGCAGGGTGGGTGTGGGAGGCAGAGTGGGGGCCATGCCTGCACTTCCCAGCCAGTAATGGGGTGTGGGGGCTGCCACGGGGTCCTCAGCAGGCAACTGGGTGCCTCGGGGTCCCAAGGTGGGCAGAGGGGGGTGTTGGGGGCTGCCAGGATAAGAGGGAAAGGCTGAGAGATGGAGCCCAGCACTGAGCAGCTTTTGGGGCGGGCACAAGCTGATGGCCCAGGGGCAGGAACTGCCAGGCCCAGGTCACTGAGTGCCCCTCAGACAGCATGTCAGGGGGTGTCTTTCTCCAGAATTTTCCACACATCAGCGCTGAGCCCTGTTACAGGCTGGCTGAGGGTGATGGCAGCAGTTTGCCCTCGACACCCCGCGGTGACGGAGCAGCGGTTTGGGCGCGAGGAGGAGCAAGCAGGGGAACCTCAGGATGGTGCTACCGGGGGCTGAGATCCCCAGCCCGGAGCTGTCTGCACCCCCCTGCCACGGGCTGGTGCAGAGGGAGGTGGAAAGGCACAAGATTGGTGCAGACAGCTGGCAAACCCTGCCCGCCGCGGGCAGCGGCTCCGAGCGGGTCCCCTCCTGGGATGGGAGCCGGGGCTGCAAACCCTGGACAAGCTCCTCGCCTTTAAACTGGAGTCAGATTCCTTGCTGCTGGCTCGGGGTGCAGGAAACTGTGCCCAGGAGCAGGTGAGGAGGGACCCCCCCTGGAACAAGGAGGAGACGCATGAAATCAGCTGGTTCCACTCCCCCCAGCAGGCAGCCGGGGGGGCTTTTCCAGCCGACGCCTTCTCCTTCTCAGTCCCTCTTTTATTTTTTCACGGGGGAAGCAAAATTCGTGGTGTGTGGCCCCACTGGCAGCGGGCAAAACCAGGCTGTGGTGGAATCACCCCCTCCAGCCCATGCAGGGGCTCACCTCCACGTGCCCACAGTTGCCCGGGTGCATCCACGTGTCTGGCCACAAGGTAGAGGTCCACAAGCAATCACCGATGAGTTGCTGGGGGCTGTGGCAAGAAGTGACCTCAAAAAGTGTGGAAAAGCCATCAGTTTGCCCCCCTCACTCCACACAGACCCCTGTGGCATCTCCCCTCTGTGCCATCACTCGGTCTTGGTGCCAGCAGCGGGTGCTGGGGGTCTCGTGTTGGAGGAATGAGGGTCTTCCATGAGAATCCACAATCCGGGTGAAACAGCAGGTTTGAACTCTTGGACATGGTGGAAGAAGAGCCTGGGCCACTCTTTCAGCTGGGAAAGGATATTTTCTAGCAGCTCCAGCTGCCTCTCGCTGCTCCTGCCAGCACATGGCCGGGATCTGGTGATCTCCTGACCACCCAGAGCTGCAAATTCAGCTTTAACCCCAGTGGAGCTGGGGTTAAATCTCCATTCAGGGATGGAGTGAGGATAAGGACACAGGGTGGGGAGCTGGAAAGCACCTTCCCAACCCCTCCCATGGGAGCTGAGCCCTCTCCTTTATAAATGCTCCTTCAAATTGTGCCGGACCCCGTCCCGGAGCCACCACAAAGCTCCCGTGGCCTTCAAAGATGGAAAACCCCGCGGTGCTGTTGGAATCCAGCAGGGAAGCCACTCGTGGCCAGGGGTGGCCACCTGGAAAAACATTCCATGGGGCTCCCTCTCCCGTCCTCCCTTATCCGGTGGACCCCCGAAGAAGCGGAAGCCGCGGGCGATTCGACAGTGGCAAACCCGCAAACGAAAAAACAATCTCTGGCGCTATGGGATGGTTCTGTCCCTTACACGCACATTCCAGCCGGCTCGAGGGCCGCGCGGGGCGGAGGGGGGGGGGGAAAGAAGGGGAAGGGTAAGGAAGCAAATTATTTTCCCCGTCTTCAATGTCAGGTTCGGCGCGGTGCCGCGGCCGGGCCCGGCGCAGGCTGGCGGGCCACGGCGGTGCGTGCGGAAAGCGAGAGCGCCCTCCCGGCAGCCGGCACGGAGCACATCCAGGCCCGCCAAGTGACATGGATTTTC